CCCGAAATCCCCCCCTTGGACGGGTTGCTAGGGGGTTTTTTGGGGTTAAGTTCCCCCACATTTAAAAGGGCCAAGTTTGGACCACCCTGATCCAAAGGATGCAGAAGATGCAATTTCTGAAAATGTAGAGGCCCCTGTTGTCACTACCATCTACAGTATATCCTGATGCTACCTAGTAATACTTTTACTGCTGAGCCAAATTGTTGTAATAATCAATCAGTATAGATGGCCTGCATTATTCCCCAGTGGGTGGACGAATTTCTGGACAGAATCAGCTAAAAATGCAACCTGTTCCCAAGCCATATTCTATATGCAAGCCCTCCGTATTGATTCCTTTTCTGTTTTTGGTATCCAAAGGAAGCAAACACTCTGGTTAAGGATGATGATGATACCTGGATTTATGCTCCATCTAACTCAGGTGTTTACATGTGACAGCATCAATAAATTTGCAGTATTCTATCAGGTGAAATGCAGCCATGAGTTTAAAAAGTGAAACATTTTGCAAAGAAGCTCTACCCTTTAAGCTTTGACAGAGTAAAGCAGGAACCTTGAGTAATAAATAAAAAGGGAAAGATGTGTTCAGCTCTATTTGATTATTCCCCTGAGACCCTTGACTCCCTCCATACTAGCTCATCATCAGTGTCAATAAAACTCGAACTTCTTGTTATAACACATGGCCAGTAACAGCAGCAACCAAAACCTTATTCGCAGAAGGTGCTTGGAAATGTGCAGCATGGCTGCAGCCCAAATGCAAGGATTTAATTGGGCTAAGACAGGTGTTAACTGCTCAGTGGAGGTTTTAAGCAAATAGGGAGATTAATTACATTATGGAAGAGAGCAGGGGCAACAGCAAGCAAAAATCCAAGCCAAGCTGTTAATGCCCGGGTGAGGAGGAAGGCACGTGCTAGTTAACTGTTCTCTTTTGCCCTCCCTTGCAAACCAGTGCTAGAATGCACCCTTGTCCTACGTTCCAGTGCACAAGAGGGTAAGGATACTTTAGAAGAAATTTAGCACAGACTTTCTTCTGCTATGTCCTCCAGCCTACATTTTGGGCAGGGGGAAGTAAAATATAATGCACCATGGACACCAAATGGGTTCTTCAGATGCTGCTCTCCCTCCCATCATTTCTGACCGTAAAGGACTGATGGAAGATGCAGCCTAGGACCTTCTGGAAGTCCATAGCATTCTTACACTTGTAGTTGAGAAATCTGTGATCCTATTCGATCCAGCTTGACTAGTAGCTTTCTACGGAACCACGTTACCCGTATGAACCTTGCTAAAATGTGAGATTAACCTGCAAGGGTCCAAGTTCTCAATCCACAAAATGGATCTTTTCTATGATGCCATGCAGTTCTGAAATATTCTGCCCACATGGCAGAGTGGTTCTTCTGCATGCAGAATAGCTGGGAAAGAATCCTGCCTAGAGAGCTGCTTGCAAATAATGTAAACAATGATGGGCTTGGTAAGCCACTAATTAGACTCCCAATGAAGCAACTTCCTATGCAACCTATCTGAAATTTGCTTTCCTTCTTTCTCCAGAATCTATCAGCCAAAGATACTGATTACATGTTGCATTTCTTCCCTTAAAATTCTTCCCCCTTTTCACAAATCCAAGTCTCTCTTTTTTATTTGGCAAACCTTGGGCTTCCCCCAAGCTTGCTGATACCTCCTGGTGCTTGGGAAATGCAGTTTTGGTTCTATGCACAGCAGCACTCAGACCATGACCATTGGAAACAGAGCAGCTTTTTGTTGGCTTAATATCTTCATAATCAACTATGTCAAGAGCGAAAGACAGAGAGCAAGCTATTACCATGTGACAAATGATATCTTTACAGAGTTTTCTAACGTTTGAAAAATGTAATTTTTCATAGACTCCCCAACCAAAGAGTTGATTTTGCAGTGTGGTGCACAAAATGAAGGGTATGAAGTGTTGTGTGCAGCTCAGGACAAGACAAGAAATGCAAAAATGCCTTTTAATAGAAATATAGATACACATTTAAACAGCTGATGCCAGTGAACAAGGACTGAGGATTCCTGCTGTTCATTCTAATCAGACAAGGACTGACAAGACATAGAAGTATCTTTCCAATAAAGACCGCGCCATGCTGGCAAGACACCTCTGTACCTGCTCTTCTGAGGAAAGTTTTTTCCAACCAAACAGTTAAGACCACTCTCACCCCTACCCTTACTAGCTCATCTCTGTAAGGAAACAGAGAATGCAGAATAATGCTCAAAAAAATAGACTTGCAGACAGCAGCGATACACCATTAGTGTGCCCTCTCACCAGTAGCGAGATCAATGGACAATGCTATACTTGCCATCAGCTGCATGAGTCAGGCTGCCTACTAGCTGAGCCCAGTGGGGAGAGAGCAGGTCTGAAAAAGTTCATGAGATGTTTTTCAGTGCAGACACACACGCATACATGCACACACACCTCTGGATTCATTTTGCCTTCAAGGTGCTCAAACGTTGGAGAATCCAATGGGGAACATATAAGTAGCAAGTTGGTAGAAATAAAATAATTGCTTTGCACAAAGAGAGCAGACCATGTCTTCTTAAACAGATGAACAGGAAAAAAAAAGTTATAAAATATGTAGGCACCGACAGATGTCAGTGCACACATAACTAGCGCACAGACTTAAGTGGCTGAGCTCGTGGAGGACCACCACACTCCCATCTAATTTCACCTGGCCCGGATTGTCTCTCACAATGATATGCTGCCAAGAATGTGGAAACATGGACTGTGGGAGGCTGGAACACCTTTGGGAAAAGTTCCCTAGTGCAGATCTCTTGAATAGGGTCATGGCTCAGTGACTAAACACCTGCTTGACATGGAGAAAGCCCTGGGACTGATCCCCACCATCTCTAGGGAAGGCTGGAAAAGCTTGTGCCTTTTACCAATCCATGTTGACATGATGAGGTTAGAGGATCTAGCAGCCTGACTCAATATGCAGTAAAGGATGAAGGGGGAGAGGGCAAAAAGCATGAAGGACAGCAGAGATGGAAGGACAAGACCAAGCAGAGAGCTGGATAGGAATCTGCAACTCCTGGTGTGTGCCGGCTTCCATGATTAATACATGTAAGGAGAGAAAATGCACCTTTAGCATATTTAAAGGTTATGCTTTATACCATTAAGGTTCTGAATCAGTATCTGGAGGCTGTGGGAGTCTGGATGGGGAGGAACAAACTCAGGCTCAACCCTAGTGAGACAAAGTGGATATGGATTTTGAGACCTCCTGGTTCCAGAGTTTTTCCATCTCTGCTTCTGAATGGGGTGCATGATTTGGGGGAATCATTTAGAGAGTAGAAGGTAGCCATGGCTAGGAGGCCTTTGCACAAATTCATGTGTGCAATAATTGCATCCAATCCTGAATTGGGAGGCCCTATTCATGGTCACTCATGCCTTGGTCACCTCTTGTCTGGATTTCTCCAATGCAACCAACAGGGGACTGCTCTTGAAGATCACTTAGAAGCTACAGCTGGTCCAGAATGCAGCAGCTGGGGTAGGTATGAGTGCAGCTTGGTATTCTCATCTAACACTGCCACTTTGTGACCTGTACTGGTTGCCAGCGGGCTTTTAGGTACAATTCAAGGTTCTGGTTATCACTTTTAAAGCTCTTCAAGGCACAAGGCCTGATTTTTGTGAAATCACCTGTCTCCGATTATTTTTGCATCTCCAGTAAGATTGAACAGGGTTGGCCTGCTCCAAGTCCCATCACTTAAGCAATGTCATTTTATGGGATCCAGGAAACATGCCTTCACTGTTACTGCTCCTGCCCTATGGAATCGTATTCCCCCAAGATCTGGATGACCCTCCCTACTTTGTGGTAAGGCTTACCTGTTTTTTCCCCAGACATTGGGTCAGGTCGTCTTCTGAACCTGTCCAGATTGGTTGTGCTTAATTGTTGTATTGCCTCCAGTGTGATTTGTTTTATATTTGATTATATTTTTATAGAGTTGGTGTTGTTTTAATTGTATGCTGCCTAGAGTCATATGTTGAGAGGACAGTTATATAAATTGAATAGATAAATACATCTGAGGTGCTTTGAGCTAGGCAGGTTCCAGGCAGGCAAGCCCATAGACTGCTGTCCTCCCACACAAGAGACCAAATGCCCTGCCATCAGGGCACCCTAAACACTGCCATCAACCGCTAAGCCTGACAAAATTCCCCGGAAGGGAGTGGAACAGGGTCACTAGTCCATACCATGGTGGACAGTGGAGGAGGAAGGGCCTCCCCACTGTTTCCAGATTAAGCAAAGGGTACCAAAGCCACAAGAGCCACAAGAGTCAATCTACCCATGAGGCTGGGCCAGAGAAGGCAAGCTGCCCCCCGCAAGGTCTCTTGATTGGTCTCATCTACATGTAAAGCCCTCCCATCACCAGCCAGCTGGGCCCGTGAGCTGCACAGGTCATGCAGGTTGCCTCGGAACTGGATCTTTTGGGACTCTTGCCGAAGGGACTCCCAGATGTTGGCTGCCTCTTCAGGGCAGTTGGACAAAACCTGAGTGGCACAGGTGTGGAAGTCATCCCAGGACCTGCAGGAAGGACAGACTCAGTGAAGATTAAGCAAGTTCTTCTTCAGCACTTCATGACCCCTTCCAAATAAAAGACAACAATAGAGAGTGGGAGCATGATTCTATTTGTATGGGTCAATGGCTATATGCGGTTCACTTCTATTTCTGATTTTTTCAAGAAGGGGCTGGTGTCAGCAACAGCCTTAGCCATGTGGCTAGAGGCTTCAGAAGCCCATCTGCCAAAAACAGAACATTGACAAGAGTCACAAACTGAACGTGAGTATAAAGAACCATTTGTTTGTGGTGCAAAGTGGCTGTAGACCAGCACCAGCCATCTAAATCCAATTCACATGATATTTCCTGTATTTCATTCTGATCCTCTGACCTGATCCTCCTGGATGCATTAAGACCACACTGGGAGGACATCAGGTATCATGCTTCCTCAGAATTTTTATCATCTAAATTAGGAGTAGGCAACTCATACAAATACAGAGATGTCCCCCACACAATTATCTGGAGAAGATTGTAGGGTGTGTATTAATGGTGGATACGAGAGCAATTTGCCAAAGTCCCACCTGCTCCCAACATTAAAAACCCTCAAAATGCCAAAAATAGGTCAAAAGTTACAACATCACCAAACGGCCTCTCACATCCCTTCATAAAGTTCAGAAGTTGAGTTATGGATCTTGATCATTCAGACGTACCTAATCATGATCTAAGTCAGTGTTGCATTAGATGAAAACACATAGAACTGCTGATGGAAAACAAGCCTCAGATAAACCCATACAGGACCAGGGTTGTTCCTACAGGGTTTAGGATATCATATGCAGACTCAAAGAAAGCACGTTTGCATCCAAGGTAGACACATAGTCCAATGGTCCCTTGAAACTGGCTCACCTAGTGCACACATCATATCAGCCATTGTTTCCTTAACCATGCCTGGTTGACTAAGTATTACACAATGTGTTTTAGGCTGGGTTCACCAATCATGTTCAGCCACAACATGATTTGCTTAGTTTTTGGCTTAACATGTTGTACCAACTCATCCTTTGTAGTTTGTAATCTATAGTTAATGGCTTTGCATTGTATGAACATAGTCAGTCAAGGTTTATTCAACAAATAATGAACCTTGACTTAGGACAATATTTTAACCCAATGTTATCCCCCGGTTTTTAAGAGGTGGATGCAGGTAAACTGAACACTGATGTTCTGGGCTCCTAGATAGTCCTGAAGTCCAACCTTTGGAAGGCAGTGATACCTTCCTTAGATTTATGGGTGATCTATGGGTTCATAGCTGGGAGAAAAAAGGGGTTTGTTTTGTCTCTTTCTCAGAACTGATGCTCCCATTAGCTTTTAAAGTTCTACACTGAAATAACTGGAGCCAGCAGTACTAATTTAGACAGATAAATGGCTCAAGGAACCTTCTTGCAAGCTTTTGAGATGGCCCTAACGTTTCTATTGATAGGAACCTGAAGTGATGAATCTGCACTCACCTACAGATGGTGTCCAACTCCTCTTGATCCTGGATGGTGTCATCCTCCTGATGCTTCTGAACATTTTGAGCCATGCTGTCTCCGAGGCTAATCAGGCACTGTGCAAACCCCTTGTAGATGGTATTGCACTTCCAGCCAGCCACACTCACTGGCTGTTCCACTAGCACTGCAATGAGGTTGAAATTGAGATATTCAGGCTGTATTATCTTCAATAGCTTTTCTCAGCTCAGATCTTTATAGATGTGTTGGATTATGATTCTCATAGTTTCTGGAAAGCATGCAGGGTGGGGTGATGGAGTGGTGGCTAAACTTTCCTGGACTGTGTCCATTTTTGTTCATCCAATAGCCACCAGAGCAGTGCTTGCAGTGTAGGCAAATTGAAAGAGAAGATACCTCCCAAAATTAAAATATATATGTTCTGGGTAGCTTCAAAGGCTTCTGTTCTGTGATTCTTTAGTTTAAATATTTGCATACATAGCCAAGTTTGATTTCTGAACAGCTGAGAATAAGACCCTGAGACTGATTTGATTACTTATTTAATTTGGTGCAAAATTTAGAATGCTGGTTTTGACATATGGAGAACCAGTTTGGTGTAGTGGTTAAGGCGCCAGGTTAGAAACAGGAGACCGTGAGTTCTAGTCCTGACTGAGGCACAAGGCCAGCTGGGTGACCACGGGCCAGTCGCTCTCTCTTAGCCCCTTCCAAAAATGTTGCCAAGAAAACTGCAGGGACTAGTCCAGGCAGTCATCAGGAGTCAACACTGACTCAGAAGGCACTAAAAAAATGTTTTGACATATAAAACTCTTAATAGCTCAGTTGGATATAAGCAACCATTCATCAGGGCTTCTGTCATCCAAGACATTACAAGCTGGAGTGCAAGAAGGTGATTCAGAAAGGTGAAGAAAAGCGAGTTTTCAGGACTCCGGACAGCTCCTCAAAAGCTCTACAAGAGATTCTGCATTTGAGCTTCAGCACCAAGGATAACTTTCCAACAATAAAGATAAAGCTAAACTACCCAACAGTAAGCTGAATCCCCAAATCATGAACACAATGCAGTGACTGAATTCACACATCATGCTAAGCTATAAATCATAATATTCAAACTACCAAAGCTGGGTAGCAAATGTTAGCCAAAAGCAAAATGTATCCCCCTATGGTTTAACCTTATGGGGGAACCTAGCCAAAGGATTGCACCCCACATTTTTGGCTGCATTCATTTGTTCAGTTGCTTTGAACCTCTCCCACCACTGAAATGCACCCTCAACAAAATCATGTAGCCCTCGGGGGGGGGGGGGGGGATTCCCACCTTCAGGCTGGAAACACAAAGAATTTGCCTGTACATAAAGCAGCTTCCTAGCATCTTTATCCCTTATTGCTCCCTGTACCATTGTGCATCACAAATGCTATACAAATAGCATATTTCTGTTTAGCCAACAAGACTGAAAGTAATAAGGACTTATTCAGGATGCAGAACAGACATTGTCCTTGAGCAAACTGAGGTAGTTGTCCTGGATGGCAGATTATGAGTGTCTCTTGAGACAAGTCAGAAAGATAAACAGCATTATCTTATCTTGTAAACTTCTAATGGCATGCCAGTAGGTACCATCTCATGTGGCCATTGGAGATACATAGGCTGTGTTTGCTATAAATTTAGAAGGTAAAAGGCTTAGTGTCTTGGGACCCCAGTGATTACGAAAAGAAAAATCAAAGCCTGCTGCCGCTCAAAGCAATTCTAAGTCTGTCCTTGTTATGAATGGGTATAGACTGTAGTCACAGATGTTATTAATTACCTATAGAGCCTGGTGCTAGTTTGCATCTAAAAGTGACAAGAAAAACCTAGGTTCAAACAAAATAATCCCTATCAAAATTATGCACACATAGTTTTAAAAATAAATATACATGTACTATAGATGCATTTACGACAGGATTATTATGTTTGATCTTGCAAGCGTGGAGGTGGAGAGTATACAGTTGTAATCTTTTCTATGACATTCTGAAAGCTGCATTACAAATTGCCATTTGGACACATTTTTCACCCTCAGAAGTTTTATCTGGAATGTATTATAGCAATCTTCCCCCAAGAAGGCACCTTCCCATATGTTCTATAACAAGCCCACCCTGATAATTGGTAACGTAGGAGTTTTCCAGATAACTTGGAAGACAGCAGAATGGAGAAAACTGCAGTGAAACACACGGCATTTTGTACTCAGATCCCTAGATAATGCCAATCACACAACTCATGCCTTACTAAAATTTCTATCATCTAAAAAAAAAAAAAAAAAAA